GGGCGTGTTTCCCATCACGTTTCCCCAACGGCAGGACATGCGTTGAGGGAGATAGAACGGGAAAACAAGTAATCACAAACTTGTCAGATCAATAGCGATCGGTCATCCTTACTTTGCAACTGAAATTCAACGGGATCCCTTTTTGGAGGGAATAGCGGCATTTCTCTAGGACCTAGCTATTTGGCGTAACGGCGCCGAAGTAAGCCAAATTGACAGGCTGTAAAGCGCCGCCGCTACATCGGGCTACTTTCCTGCTCGTCGCCGCAACACAGATTTCCCGGCCCTCATCCGAATTGAAGATACGGTCGATATCGCTGCAATCCGACGGGGCGGTGTCAAGGGCATGAGCGCGCCCGCCTCTGCGTTCTCCTCCAAAAGCGGCCAGTTTGGGAAGAGAACGACCACTGGTGGAATAGTCAGGGCTCGTTCCACGCCTCCGGACATGGTCTCGTCGGTTTGCGGAATCGCAAAGATATGATCAACGAGAGAAGGACGCGCTACATAATCTTACACTAAACGCGGGTGAGAAATCGCCCAGCGATTCCTTTGAGGTACCCAGGCAATCAACTTGCCATCGTTCCCGCGTCGTGTGGGCGATCCTGGGTTGACAATAAACACTAAACCCGTTTCGCAAAGCGCGTGTGCGATTTCCCCGCGCCAACTGTGTTCGATTTTGTCGCCGGTTTCATCCGAAAGAGCGAAGTTTAGACTCACCGCGCACAACCCAACTTCTTGTCCCGCCCGTCTGTGAACGAGAATGTCAGCCAGTATTCGTTCTGAAACAGCGACCATTGACTGAACAGAGTAACGAAAGAATGAGCTATTCGTAAGCACTTACTGATTGAAGGGGACCGAAGAAGGACTTGGGAAGATCTTCGGAGGAGAATACCTTTGAGAACGTCATCGTCCAGTGTCCTTTGGGTGGTGGACACAGCTGAAATGGGACGACTATCTAAAACAGTAGGATCCGGGGTATAGCTCACAAACCTTGTTTTGTCTTAGGAAATCTTGAGCTTTCGAGTCCTTGATGTATTTATGCGCTCCTTTTACTGCCTCATTACATTTTTCCAGCATATCGCAGTATCGGCTGAAATAGGAAAAGCACTACAAAAAGGAAAAATTCTAGCAGGTCCCTGAGATGAGAAGAGAATAACTTCACGGCGCAGTTTGTCGACGGGGGGGGGCATTCTGCTTTCCATAGATGTGCCGACCCATCTAGGTAGCCTTTTCTCGAGTTGACACGTTTTAGGATGGTGGCTAGACGATCTTGCTCCAGCTTCACAAGCGTTCACAAGTTTTACCAGAGTGAGATTTGTAAACCGGAACTAGGGAAGCAATGGTAGTACAAAATGCCCCCCCCGTCGACAAACAGCGCCCAGGTTCACTTATTCCTGTACCATTCAGGATCATGATGAACTCTAAGTGCAAGTTATTTCGGACAGCTCTCCGGGGATGATCGATAATCGTTTTAAGCGTCAGGAGATTCCCAATCACGCACGCATGAAGTGCCCAAGCGTGGAAGCGTGGTCAGTTTTTGTGCCTCATTCCTTAGGCAAACAGGTTTCTTTTCTAACAACTCAAGCTTCGTTTCCGAAAAAAAATCTTCTTGATTGATTTATAGGCAAGAAGGATTAAGATATGGCCCACGGGCTATGCGGAGGTAATGAATGGTAAGTGGCTTTGCTTACGACCCAGAAGTGGGGTGTCTCGGACCTGCTGCTGCAAGGATAAAGCGAAGCTTGCACTGGAATAAGGTTCAGCATTCCACGAGGAGACCGTCGAGAGAGTCGTTGTGTGCTTGCCTAGGTGCGACTGAAAGTATGGGGATCGTATTCCGCAGAAACTCTCCTGTGATATAACAAGCAGGGCACGCCATCGTTGTGATGATCATAACGGGGGGGGTCGTATTTGACCGCGGGTAGGGGGTCATCTTTAGACCGCGAGAAAAATTCATTTTGATAGTTGATTTTTTTCGCTTCACGTACGTTGTAAAAGGAGGGTTGGTCTTTTCTCATTGTTGGGAGGGGGAGTCGTATCTACTTTTTGGCCTTCTAGGAGTGCTGGGAGTGGTGGTTGACTTTTCGTGGATTTTCCTGTTTTCGTGCGTACTAGGATCCCCCCAGACGAAAGAAGTTTTGAGAAAAAAACTAGAAATTTTCCGGGAAAAAGTGGTAGCATGTTGGGAAAATCAAGGAAAGTGGTAAGTAGCATAGGGAGGGGGGGGGGGTGGTATTTGAAGATGGAATAATGGGGGAGTCGTACTGTCCAGAAAATGATCACAACGCGATGGTGTGCCCTGATCACAAGAACGGTGACATATGGGCAGTAGTCCTGATCCAGGCGGGATTCCAACCCGTACCTCACGCTTTTGCCTACGACTCAAATCCTTAGTAGCCTCCCGCCCAGATCAACCGAGCCTTCTGCCCTCAGGGGACGGTAAATTGGCAACAGATTCGTCTCGGAGGATAAAAACAGTAAATTGTGCATTGGCTCGCCCTCACAGGTCATTTATTTTATTTTTATTCTCGAGCGCGTCTCGAACCTGCCACATCCCGAAAATGGCCGAAATAGGCTGTTTTCGCATCGCTCCCCTCGAAACGGCTGAAATAGCCGATTTTTGCTGAATTCCGCCTGAGCGTGTTGTGCTCGGGCAGAAAACTCGTCCAAAGGGGACCCCTTGCCGATTTTTTCCGTGAAAACTCGTCCAAAACAGCCGCTTTTCGACGTATAGGCCACATAGCATTCGATAAGACCACTATGGTTCCGAATGGAACTAGAATGCGTGCCTCTTCCCAGAAAGATCTTCTGAGCTCTATCCCTTCTCCACAACATTCAGAACAACGCTGGGAAGCTACTAGCTTTTTAGGACAGAATTTGTGCTCCCGAAGAGGACTGACCATCGTAGAAAACTTTATCCTTTTATGGCACAGTGAATGGCCACTTTTTGTTCATTTGAGAACAGCATAAGCAGAGCGTTCTGCGTTATCCCATCCCGTTTCTGAAAGCACCCAGGCCGATTCGAGATCGTAAATGCATTTTAATGCGAATTAAGCTCGAACACTGAGTTACGAAAGCCAGCCAATTTTCATTGCAGTGTTTTTAGTCGACCACACTTAGTTGGTGCCGGTATACCGAAACTGGAAATAAGTAAAGGCTGTTAAGTGGAAATCAATCCGTTGATGATGTATGTGGTGGCCGTTGAATATTCCAGCAAAAAAGTAGGGAAGACTAGGGATTTTCAGAAAAAAGATCTTTTGAAATGTGAGAAGTTGTGTGATTTCAGGAGGGTAGGTAAGGTGGGGATGGGGATATCAAAGAGAGAAATTTCAATGAATGTCGTGCTTTGCAAATTTTTTTTCCTGGAGGCAAACGTGCCTGGACCATACCTTTCCTATCGGAGGCCTGTAATAAAGTTCTGTAGGAAAAATTGGTGCACTTGTGCACGAACTAATCCCACAATTGTCGAATCGGTCATATACAGATCCACATCCAGCTTGCACTGGGTTCAAATTCAAAAGTACCACGCGCAGTACGCCTTGGTGGGGACACTAAATGGTACTTAGCAAAAGCTAGTTCAGGCAACCCTAGGAAAACTGTGAATTCCTGTAAACACTGTGGTTAACCTGAAATTTTTTGAGCTCCACAACAAGCGATCTCCCAGTTAACATGAACTAGCAAATGAAATTAGCGGAACTGCAAAATGCCCCTTCCAAGCCGAATAGCGTCGAAGTACAGCATGCTTACCACGATCCAACTCCATCACAGCCATCAATAATGTTCCATCCTTGACATGGGATCACTTGCCATCCTTTAGAACCTTGTTTATTCGTCACCGCATGGCGAACCTGAACCGTTCCAGATTTGCGAAGCGGAGAAAATTGGTAAATCGGTCTCAAAACGTTATTTCAATGCGCGCACACCTCGAGATCCATTTCGATTTTGTCGACGGGTAGATCTTCGGATACGTCCATCGTTACATTGAAGAAGATCGGACCCGGAAAACGAGGATAGTCGGGCCAAATGACGATATTCGAAACGTTCACGACGTAGTTGGTCCACTAAAATACAGTATACAGTAAGCAGATGGAGGAAAAGTCGGCTAAATAGATATCCAAGAAGCTGGAAAGTTTGGGTAACTTTGGCCGCTAAGGTGGCAACTGTGGCCATGGTGCGGTCCTAGCCCTAGCCACCAGGTACTGGGTTCAGCACGATGAATCGATCAGGTGTATGGGCTAATTAGGCCCCTCAGGAGACATAATAAGCTCGTGAGTAAGCGCCCTTTTCCCCTAAAGGGCACTTTTATAACGTACCGCCAAAGAGTAACATGCCGGTCAGTACGTCCATCGGCCGTACCTATCGCTACCAGGGCACCTACTGGTGGGGCGAGAACTCCTGCTCTTTGCAAGCCCACCTCATCCCCAATTTCCTCTTGTACGACAGCTTTCCCAAAAACTTACCGTTGAGCCTGGGAGGGGGGGGGGGGTAGACATCTCCGATCCAGCATCCAGGGTCTTGAGGCGCTGGCTACTGAGCCAATATATAGCGCGCGTCAAAGGAGAAAAATTGATATTCGAAAAAACCCCAGGCCACTTACAACCTGCAACTGTTCTGCGATCAAATGCCACCCCCAATTCCAAGGCACGACTTTCCCCGGTCGCTACCCTTTTGATTGTTCTGTCCGTAGTCACTTTTGGTTCCAAAAACTACTGAAACGGATGAGTCACTGTTCCAGAGCTTCCTAGGGAACCGCTTTACTCAACTGCCTCATAAGTTTGGGTAGAACTCACTTGCTCGCTGGCACATCTGCTGAATTGCCATCCTCGGATGACGACGCCATGTGGTCCTGTTTGGTACTTCTCCCAGAACGGCTGTACTCCTGGCAACGCTTCATTCCATGCTTTGGTTAGAGGTGATTGGCCCAAAGCCAATGGAACAAGAGCGGCGAGGAGCAGAAGCATCCTGAAACGATAAGAGGGGTCAGCCAAATGAAGTCGGCGCTGACGAGAGTGGCGATTCTGGCGAAATGAAACGCGGATGACAATGATAAGCGGCGAATGAGTAGTGACCAGGATATAGAGCACTGGACACATTCTATCAACGAAACAAGACCGGACCGTGAATGATCGGCCAGAAGTGGGCTAAGAGTCGCCAGCAGCTAGTGTCCCAACGACGGAGTGGTTAGTGGGGCGATAAAAGAGAGAACTTGATTCCACCCTACGTGCCTTGGAACAAGTTCGCGTTTATTGTGAAAGCGATCAGTACGTTCAGTTCTTATGACATCGTCATGAGATGACGGCAGGTTCTAAGAAGTGTTCAGTCCGAACATAACACTAGGCCCATTATCCCCATCGTCTTCACAATACGGTCTTTGCCGTCCGCTGAAAGAGGGGGGGGGGGTGGTTGATAGCGTCGTTGTCAGCGCTGATGGTTGTGGAGAGGAAGTTCCGCTGACGCTGAATTTCGGCATGATTGGTGTAACCCAGAAAAAGGGGTGACAGCGACGCATGACCTTTGCCTTTGACGAAATCTGCGCGTGTCTTTTTGATCCTACCATCCCAAAAAACCCAGGTATCTCTGGATCCCAGGATCACTCGATAATTCCTAGGGGATACCATCAGTAAGGCTTTTGGTACCTTTGAAAAATTGGAATACGCCTTGATGATCTCGAGCTAACTAGAAGAAATTTGGCCTCGTTTGCAGATCTGTTTGATGGAGGGCATTTTCTGGTTTTCGACGACCGTCACCTACCCCTCCTGTGGTGTCCTGTAAACTCTTGCGTAAATGTGCAAAAAAGCTTCTTTTACACTTCACAGGTCCCACCAATGTGAGCAGGAAGTAGTGAGACAAGCTAGCCAACAAGAGAGCACCCTCTTCCCCCCTCCTTCCCTCCCCATCCCCCCGAGCAAACAGTTATTTGAGAGGCAGATTTGTCCGGGTGGTCAATGGTGCTAAAGATGTCTTTTAGTCTTCCTAGAGTCCTTGGTAAATTGTCGAGCCAACTAGAACAAAATAAGGCGCAGTTCGGCTTAGTGGGGCATTTTGGGGGGAGGGGGAACGGTTAGGACTCCACGAGAGGTCAGCCTGCCGCCGCGACGCGGCAGAGGAGAAGTGGGTCTCGCGATGTTTTCGCTATCTGCGCGGCGTTTGCATAGTCCGTTAGATTTCCAATTATTACTTGCAGGTGTGAAAACTATGGAAGGAGTGGGCACGATGTGTAACTATTGGTATAAAGCAATGTCCATTTACATAGAAATAATATTTAGAGAATACATCAGCAATCTACAAAAATTCTTCTCAAAGGTGAATCCTCTTTTGCTTCCTTTGCAAGGTATTGTAAAGGCCTAAGATTTGGGGCCAGACGAGAAAAGTAGGTAGTAGTAAGTAAGTAGTAAAGAACAGTAGTCTGTTGAATAAATACAGCTGCCATTCAAAAATATTGACGTCCCATTGAATATTCTAGTTTGCAAAATGCCAAGCAGATTTACGTGATGCCAGAACTATGTGAAGGGACCGGGATCTTAATCGCACGACTGTATGGGTCTTGTCCAATCAGGGCAGCAATCGCCGCGCGCGGCGAGGCGAAACATGGCTGCCGTGACCTCTCGTGGAGTCCTAACCTACACCCTCATGTGAGTAGCAGATCTGTGCGAAGGATAGTGGGTGCTCTAGAACCCTCTCAACCTTACAAGCTCTTTCAAACTGTCGATCCAACTAGAAGAAAATTAGGCGCTTGTCGGCTTAGTGGGGGCGTTTTCTGGCTCTCATGTACTATCACCTATCCCTCATGTGGAAACCTGTAAATTCTTGTGAAACTATGCAGTACCGCGAGCTTCTTTTACTTTTGACGATTGTTTGCAAGTCTCACCAATTTGAGACGCGTAAGTTAACAGAAACTATACTAAAAGGCGGAGATGGTGTAGTGACAAGTGGGGCTCACACGCGCGTCCCGGGTTCGAATCCCGGGTCGACTCCCGCCCAGGCCAACCAAGCCTTCTACCCTCCGGGGACGGTGAATTGGTACCAGATTCGTCTGGGAGGATAAAACACTGACTTGTACATCGGCTGGCCACCGCAAGTCATTGTATAGGCCACATCGCATTCAATAAGCCACTACGATTCTGAATGGAAGTAGAATGCGTGCCGCATCCCACAAAGGGATTGATCAACGGCGAAGACTTTATCCTTTATCCTTTAAGTTAACAGAAACTATACTAATTAGGGAAACTAGCGAACTGGGGAAGTGCCCCTTTCCCATCAATCCGAACTGCGTCGAAAATTAATATTGAAACTGGGATGCCTTGCGAAAAGCAGGTTTGTCCCAAGGATCAAGGGTAGCTAAAAGGCCTACTGGTCTTATAACTTGAATGATCCATAGTTAAACCCGAAATCAAGGGGCGAGCTAAAGCAGAGCTAGCGAGCTCGCAAGGGAGCGCTTTGGAGGGGACAAGGTCCCTCAAGGTGACGACCCCAGTCGAAGCATCTTTGAAAGGAACATTCAGTTGTCGCAGTGGCAGAAACTCAAGAGACAGAAGGCGGTAGTCCCTAAAGAGAGTTGAGGATCACTGATAATCATTTACCATTATCAGTCCTAGGAATCATCAGTGTGAAAGGGGCTTTTACCAACGAAACGAAAGTGGAAGTGAGTGGGTACCACTGGGTGTCAAACGTTTCAAAGAACGAAAGAAAGTAGTATCAAGACGGGATAGAAAGGGAGGATAATTGGGTCAACGGGGCAGAGATAGTCAGTGGAGATACATCGATTGGGTAGAATAAAGACGATATATAATAGCTCGGGCGTCCCCGTTAGCGACGACGCGACGGTTAGGGGGTGGGCGTAAACGATTGTGATGTGATGGTAGACGTTATGAGATTTGGCGAGGTATCAGACATGGTGTAGGAGCGATATCGTCAAAGAGTTGTCGAAAGAAATCGAAAACTATCCCGATAAGAAAATCGACCGGATGGGACCGTCACGACATCTAACGATAGGCTGGTAGAAGGTTCTAGCACGAAGAAAAAGGTTAGAAGTGCTACGAGATGTAGGATGACGAGTTCTAAATGACATATTTGTCTGGGTGAAGGTCGTCGATCGGGGATTAGGAGTGGGTGGAACCGATCACTGGACGGCCGTTGCTGCAACTTGACCGGATTCATCTGGGATTTTCCAAATTCTTCAAGCTTCCTCGGACATATTGCGGAAAGGTATCGCCAATGGCCGTTTCATCTTGGTTCGAGCTGGACGCCACTTCTGGGTTAGTTTTTTTCGCAGGTTCCTTCGCTAAATGCCTATTCAAGGTCTTTTTCCCTCCTGTGAAGCATAGAGTCCAAAAATATCCAGCAAATCTGCGTTCCTTTCGAATTTCCCGTGAGACTGGCAAAGAACTCGTCATCATTCTAGGGCAGTTTCGATCCGTCGATGGCTGTTGCTTCTACTGACACCCTACTGGAGACTGGAAAATGCTCAATTCTAGCCTTTCTGGAAAAGCCCGTCTAAGAGCTCATGAATCCCTCTAATCCATCCGAAGGGTTTCCGTCCCTCCCAGGCAGAGCTAAATATTTATTCAGAAGGCTTACTTTTTACTAAGCACATCGTTTCTTTCACATATCCTGCCTTACCATTTGTAAGCATGAAAAGGATAAAGTCTCTTTTTTCCGGGATGCGAAACTTATTCTGATTCCATTTAGGAACGTAGTGACTTCCTGACCCGGGTTTGACCTCCGGACCGCGCGCGTAGTAAGGGTGCTACTTGCCACCATCCCTGTCAGTTTTTTAAGCATCGTGTCCAGAAATGACACCCTCAATCTGCATTTCTCTTGGCTTCCCCATGAGATTGGCAAAGAAGTCGTCATCATTCTTGGGCAACACCAATCCGACTACGACTGTTGCTTCACCCTGCAAAAAATCTTGAAACGCTCAATTCTTGCTCTTTTAGAAAAGGCTATCCGTCCAACGAGCTAATATTCGTTCTAGTCCACCCGAGGAGCTTCCACCTTCCAGATGGAGCCAAAAATTGATCCCAGAAGTGCTTATTTCCACTATCTTAAAATTTTCTTTCATTTATCTCGTCTTACTCTACTTCCGAGCGCTTGTCACCAATTATCTCCCACCTGTTTAGTTTCAAAGGCATAAGGCAGGATAATTTGGTACTTGCTCAAAAATAGTATCAGCAGTACTATATTGCGAGGAAAGAGACGAAAAAGTGAAGTAAAAGCTGAATACTTTCGAAAAAGCCTTTGTTCTGCATGGCTTTGTGACCTCGTTCATTTTCCGTCTAAGGGCACGTGAGAAACGGAAACTGAGCTACTTCTTTGAATTGCCCCCACCCCCTTAATGAATTCAATTGATAGTTAGCCTTCAGAGTAACTTTGAAACTTTGAGCTTGAAACAAAATTTCTTAAAAATCATATTTTTATTTTATTATATTTTTTGGACGAGCATTTTTGGACGACTTTCCCTCTGGCCTCATACCAACAACTGCTTGAACAGAGACTGTTGCACGATGTATCCATATCATGTAGCAACGTTCATATCAATTGTACTTCATAAACGAAACGGTAAGAGTGCCAGCATCGATGTGACTGCACGGCCACTTGTGGGAGGTCGGTTGCAGTGGGCGTGTGTGTCGGCATGTTGCACCTTTGTTAGGCTCTATAACGGTACCCTTGAATGAAAAATGGGCCACAGCGCCTGCAAAGGGGCACAATATTCTTTCGTGCTTGGCGTATCGACCTGTACGCCTTGTAGAATTATCGTGCCACTTGCCTTTGATAGTCCAGCTGTCTCTAAATGTCTGATTTTTTTATTCGGTGAAGTTTGCTTGTTTTCGATGTCTGGGTGGTATCACCACGAAGAGGGAAGGTTCCATTTCCGGCCCTTCTCATAGGGAGTCATAAGAGTAAAACTTCAAAAAATCGACCTCTTTTTTGAGATGCGCCACTTATTCCACTTCCATTCACAATTGCAGGGAGAAAGGAACTGAAAAAGGCGAACACTCGAGGGAAGCAGCAGAGGTTACTGTACTGTAAGTATTCGTAGCCACTATTCTTTAGGAGCTTTGGTGACCGATCCTAACGCTATGTGGGATTCGAC